TCAATGAAACCAAGGTCCAGAAAGGATCTCAAGGCAAAGTGGTGGTTCAGACAACAGGGTCAAAAGGAGCCTGTCCTGAGGGGCAAAAATGAGGAGATCTTCAGGGGGCAAGAGAGGGAATGCATGGCAGAAAGAAGGACCTCATTTAGAGAGGCATTGGCAAAACTGTCCTCCACTAAAGAAAGGAGAGCTTGCCTACACACTTCTTGGTCCTGATCCTGACTCATAGCCTGTTGATCAAGATCCCAAGTTGGACCTTTACTTATTAAATAAACCATTTAACTCTATGTATGGTCTACAGTTCTGTGTGGCCATTGCATCGGACTACTGAACCCAAAAGAGAAGTTGAGAATTCCATGGGAAGGATAGCTGGTATCAAAATTGGTAAAATGGTTGGAGAGTGGAAATACAGTGGACCACCCATTCACAGAAATCAACTTTGGGCTGATTTTGGTCATTATTCCTCTTGAAGTTAAGACAAGTTCTGATGACACTAATATCACCATTTTATGCTTCACAGATTCAAAACCTCCTTCGAGTGGCACCGCACCATTTAGCTACTACATTTCCTTTCTTCCTGGATTCTATAACTCCTATTTCAGGAGGGCACCCAGTCTTCTGCCTGATAGAAAATCCTGATCAGTCCATGGACTGGTTTTCTGGGTAAAAACATGGTCTAGTTCTGACCACGCTGATGTGAGGGGCTTTGTTAAGAGTAGGGCGTGGGGGTGGGGTGATGGTGGGGGTGTGTGTCTTACTTTGCAGACAACATCAGAAGGACAATCTGTGTCCACGTGCATATGGATAGGAACAACAAGTGCCAGCTTGCGGACCGAGGCCTGAGTTGGAATGCAAAAGTATGGCAGAAACACAGGACCTGGATGACTTTGTTGGGACCCAAGTTAACAAAACTGAAGCCCCCATTCATGGATGTCTTTAGCTTTAAACTCATCTAGGCTAGGTTTAGTGTTCACAGTTGCAGCTAAAAGCACCTTCCTGGTACACAGGACAGGAGCACACAGTAGATTTTGCGTTGGCTTCACCGCCCCACAACACACACACACACACACACACACACACACACACACACACACACACACCCTCCCTGCCCCCCGCCTGTTGCCCATGGCTCCCCACGTGCCTGGACAGCTGTGGCTGGCCTATGACACCTGCACACTTCTGCCGCCACTGTCCAGCTGGTCAGTTGTGCTTGTTCCCAGCCTGTTTATGCCAGCTTAACTTGTGATTTTGTCCTTTACCTAAATATGTTATAAACAGAAAAAAACACTATTATGTAACAACTACCTCGAATGCTTTGGACATAAAGATTTTTAAATGGACTGCTATCTTAAAAATATTATTAAATAGGTAAGATGAAACAATGGGAAAGAAGAATGATGATAAAAAGTGGAAAATTCTAACCTTAGAGTGTCTCCCAAAACTCAGAGCACACAGATGGTCAATTACGGGTGTTATGTTTGTAAAAAGAAAAAGGACTACAATTAAAGCCTCCCTCAAAGGAAAGACCCACCCAGCAAGCACAAGGCTATGAGATCACAGAGATGAGCCTCCCCAAGGACGGTTACCAGGGATCTCATGCATTGCTGGGAAATGAGGCTTGGCTGATGCAGAAGTCATGGGTGCCATAACAGATATATAAGGAAGAGATAGAACCAATCCTGAACCAGGGGTAACTGGATTACTCTTGATGGATGTCTACCAAAATGGCTAATCACAGACAACAAGAGCCAACAAGGTTACAATTAGGAGTAGTATATTTCTTCTAAACAGCTTTACACTGCCAATTATATAAATTAGCCATATTTGTATTTTCAGTGTAATAAATGCTTATGGCATTTATCCTTTCTAATGTTTGACTATATTTCCTAGCCTTTATGAGACTCAGGAGCCATTGAAGAAAAAAATATAGTAGTTTGTTTCTGGAAAGATTTGCAGCTTTGGAAATCCTATGTATTCAATCTACTCTGTCCTGTACGTTATCTATGAGTTTGGTGTATTCAGACTCAGAAACCATTGTGAGTCCCATAATCCCGCCAATGGAAGCCGATAGCACCAAGCATACAGCAAGCATCCACAGAAGAAGACCTAGTTTGAGTTGAATAAAAGGCAAAACTATACCATTTCCTTTTTGTAAATATAGCTTTCAGTGGAGATGTGGTTACACTCACTTTTGAAGGGGGCTGGGCAAGTAACAGGCAGGTTGGCACTGCTTATAATGGCCTCTTGGTGGAAAGAACCTTCCTTCGTACCACCACTGCCAGTCCAGTCAAGACCATGGGAAGTTCCAGGGCAGAGTTAAGGCCTATTTGGTGGTGCAAACACAAGAGCATGTAGCCCACCAAAATGAATCTATATTCCTCAAATCACACCCGTGCTCACCTTCACCTGGTACTTAAGAAGCATCAACATAAGAAATAGGGCACTGCTTCCCAACTCCCAGGCCCGTGTGTCTTCTGGTTTAAGACATACCCAGACCAGTCTTTCTCTGTTTAAAATTCTCATCACAGGAGTAGATTTTGTCTTTTCCTAAGACAGATAGTCCTGGAACACAGAGGACAGAAGTGCTTTCATAAGGTTCTGTTTTGTTTTATCTAGCTCAGGTCAGCCTCTTCTTTTCCTTTGGGAAGGAAGGCTTGTAGTATAAACGAGCGTTATTACAGTTTGTTTTGTTGTTGTTTCAAGTGTCCTGTCTATATACTCCACATGTATCAACGAGTCTGAGGGACTCTGTGTAAGCAGCATTTCAATCGTGTCGAACCTCAGGCCCCTCAGGATAAAATGTCCTTCCTAAAAGGTGAAAGTAGGCTGTTTCACAATGGAAAGTGTCTGAATCCAGAGGAGACAAATCAGTGGAGTCCAGTATCCCCTGAATTGCACATACAGGTTTCCACCATACACCGTCAGGACATAGTATAATACTTCATTCATTTTTACCCTCTCTGCTCCAAGGGCAAAGGGAACCATTCCAGAGTCAAAAACTCACGGTTGAGCCCTTTTGGATGACATTCCTAACACTACCTCCTTTTCCCTCAGAACAGTCAACATACTTAGCCTGCTTAACAAACTCCTCCTGCCACCAAGTGCCAGCTCCATCCTTGTTCACGAGTGGATCCCTCCTTCCACTCAAGGCAGAGGATCTAGAAAGACCTCGACTGTTGTAAGACCGAGACAAGTTTGCATACGGCCACTATGGTCATAGCCTGGCCTGGGTCAAAATGTCCCAGCAGACGACACCTGAGAAGAGTGTCTGTCAAGGAAGAAAACTGCACATCAGGAACAACTACTCTCACAGTACAAGACACTATCCAGGGGGCAAGTCCTATAGAGGAATTTGGGAAATTATGAGCCCTCTAAACATCCTACATCCTCACCAGGGTGCGTTAGTCATGGCTGAATGAAGAGTACGTCTCCTGAGCATCTGTGGATGTTGATGTGTGTAGTTGGGCAGGGGACAGGAGAGAAGGCTGCAGGGAGTTGTCTCACCCCAGTAACTTGCCCGGGAGAAGAAGCCCTTGGTAGGGCGGCTCTGTTGTCCACACAGCACTAGATGAGCCTACCCTATGGCCACAGAATTGAAGCCAAGCAACGGCATCAAGAGGATACTTCAGCAGGGCTCTTAGAGCCACAGAATTCCAATCTTCTTTCCTAAACACCAGTGTTTAAATATAAATGGTTTAAATATAAATTTGGAAGATCTACTGGGTCTGGAAGTCAGCCGCCATAGTGGCCCCCAGTGGCCGTCCCCTCACCACATAGTGCTGTGCGTTCAATTGAATACTGTGGAAATGACAGCCACAACATAGGGTAGGGGCATCTAAAACAACGTGGTTCCTGTCAGGCTCTCACCTGGCTCACTTGCCATACTGTGAGGATACATAAAACCCAAGGACTCCATCAACAGTGGCATGGTCTTGACAATTACATGAGCAAGTTGTAACTAAGGTATTCCCATAGTTAAGTAGTGTGAAGTGTCACTTAAGTCACTAAGTTGGAGGCCCTTCCATTGTACTTCAGACAATGAAGTGGCCTCATACTGGCATCGCCTCATCCTACTCAGGCTGCAAGTGGTGGGTTAAATGGGAATTCTCTTCAGTTACGCCAACGTCTACTCTCAGGACATCTTATGCTATAGGACAATTCTTGAAGGATATTTTGCTGCCAGGGCTGTTTAATAATATATTACCTGGTAATCTTTGTTTCAAAGACATTTTTATTTCAGCACCTAAGTATTGTTTCTCTCAGATTCATCCTGAGGTACAGCATTTACACAGGGGAGATGGTGCTTCATCTATTCAAAATGACCATCCACGAATAAGCCTGTTGAGAGCTTGATCTATGATCAGTAACCAAGCTGGCAAAGCAGAAAAGTAGTGCGGACCAAAGCCATCTCCAGGGCAGACACCAGAGCCACCTCTTTTGCAGGAGCCACTGCAGCTTCCTAAGCTGCCTCCCTTCCCTGTGTGTCCTAACAATGACTCTCACCCATAGGCGGCGCTGCTCTTAGATACTAATGCCCTGAAGGAGCTTCTCCTATCAGACTGTGAATAAGAGATGTGGGAGGTGGAAGGGGAGGCTGCTGATTTCCCACCTAGTGTGAAGCCCACATTTTCTCCTCAAGCTTTTCTGAAGGTGTTCAAAAGAGGCAGGATCCAGAGCTCAGTGCTAACTGACTACACCACCCTACCAAGGCTATCACTGCAAAGCTGCACCTGCAAAATGTCCCTAAAGGGTCATGGAATCAGCCATGGCCTCTTACTGGCCCTCACAAAGCCCCTCTGAACATAAGGCTCTCCCTTAAAAAATGGAAATAAGGTTTGTTTTACCTATCTCATCATACAGAAAGAAAAGCACGTGGAAATTCTATAATTACTGCAAGTGACTATTATTAAGCACCAAGTTCCAAAATATAGTTCATATGTTGGCACTATTGACATGAAATTTGTCCCCGAATGTAGACAATATAAACAAAATTCACTTACCCCAGAGTGAACACAGTTCTCCCCAAATAACTCCTTCATGACATTTTTGCTAAAATCCACTATGTTCTGCAGGTGCTGAAATATTTCTTCTGAGGCCTGTAAAAAAACACAGAACACCTGAGTCATCAAGACCCTCTGACAAAGTCCCCGTAAGTGAACTAACACTTGAGAAAACAACAATGATCCTACAAAACCAACAAACAAACAAACTCATTGCCATTAAGTTGATCCTGATTCATGGCAACCCTATAGGACAAGGTAGAACTGTCCCTGTGGGTTTCTGAGGTTGTAACTTTATGGGAATAAAAAGTCTCATCTTTCTCCTGCAGAGTGGCTGGTGGTTTTGAATTGCTGACCTTGTAGGTCACAGCCCAACACACAATCACTATACCACCAGGGCTCCTCTGGAGACATACAAGGGTGTTTCAAAGAGTTCATGGAAAAATTCCCTGATCCTGAGACTATGCTGGGTATTATGTTCCTAATTAGACACTTTTGACCTAGTTTCTATTTAGTCTAGTCCTTCCTAATGCTGTGACCATTTAAAACAGTTCCTCATGTTGTGGTGACCCCCAACCATATAATGATTTTCATTGCTACTTCATAACTGTAATTTTGCTGTTATAAATTGGGTGACCCCTGTGAAAGAGTCAACTCCCACAGGGGTCGCGACCCCCAAGTTGAGAACCGCTGATCTAGCCCTTGATGACCCAGGCCCTGTGGTATAGACTGCTGGGACTTTGGACTCTGTTCTATGGAGGCACACAAAATCCTGCACAGGTCACACCAGAAAGCCATGAAGTGAACTGGGCTTTACCTCACTCACCTGTAGCACCTGGATTTAAAGCTGAACATTCCTGGTGTGAGAAGCAGCAGATGACATCTATCCCAAGGTTATGGAATTGGCGGTTGCTGGAATTTGGTATGGGTCTCTTGCCTTGAGGATGCCCAATGAATGGTGGCCCAGGATTACCATGTTTTCTATTCTAATGACATCCTTGCTTTATTAAGACATGTATCAGTCTGAAAGGCCTGGGTCTGCCTTTGTGAATGAATGTTATTATGGAAAGTTGTGGCCTATCACCAATGCCCATTGTTTGTGTAAATACTGTCTAGACACTTATGAGTTTAACCTGTACAAGTCAATAATTCATGTATTGGAATTTATAGCTGGCCTGTATTTGTATAACTTAATTTATTCAAAAATATCTTAAATGCTATATCACCAGCTAAATTAATGATGCTATCAATAAAATTACCTTATGCCCCAGGGGGATGATTGATAATATTCTCTATCATAAAATGCTATCTCTAAAGTGAACCAGAGACATATAAACAATAGATAATGTGAATGCATTTTGCACTCAAAATTCTAGTCCCAATTTAAGAACAACCAGTTCTTATGGTATGGCTCCACTTGATGTTCACCTTCATACAGAGATTACTGGAGATACGGGTGTTAAAGCAAAGTACGGAGAAGAAACTAGATGGTGTCTGGCTATCAGAAAGAATAACCCCTGGGGTCTTACAGGCTTGCCTTCAAATAAGCAGCCATCTAAGTGAGGTATCAACTAAGTATACATGGAAAAAGCACACCAGCCTGTGTGATCCAAGGATTGTAAATAATAAAGTCCAAATCCGAGGGCGGGAATGGTCTCAGAGCCTAAATTATGAATACTCAGTTTGCAAAAGGCTATGGATGACAGTGGAAACCCAAAATCTATTTGTAGGGTTCACACATGGATTAAGTTCCAGTGAATTCCCTCTGACCATAGACAAGGGATATGAATAGCCTTGATATCACAAAGAATATATTAGAAAGTGGATTATTGCAGATGAAGTTAGGTTAAAATTTACTATCTTATCATTTGGTCTCCCTTGTGACTCATTTTAAATTTGTTCCAATTTCTCATATTTTTGCTTTCTTTTCGACTGAAGTTTTTCTCTTTTATTTTGTTATTGTTGTTGGGTATTTTTATTTTTTGGTATGTTTTTTCTGTATATGAAACCCAAGAGATGCAAAACTATAGAGTAACTGGATTAATGGTTTCTTGGGAGTATAGCAGGGGAGGCTGAGGGGAGATGGAGAGCCAATAACAGTAAGTACAAGAAAGTGTTTTAAAAATGACTGTAGTGATTATACAACTCTTTCTAATATTATTGAACTACTGAATTGTATGACGTGAATTACATGCCAATAAAACTGTTTAAAAAATTCCATGATCTTTTCATCCATTTTTCCCATGAAATTTTTGATGCCTCTCAGAGTCCTTTAATTCTAGGGAGGGAAGACTTGCCTCACAGAAAACACCTATGCCTGAGCCCGAGCTCACACACTATCAAATCAAAGCCCTTACCTGCCCCAACCCAACTACTCCACAGGTCCAGGTATTGCTTTGAAGCAGATCCCCAAATAACTCGCAAAACACCTCCATTTGAGAACCACTCCGCTCCTGCCTGGCCAGGTATACAATGGAAAAACTGGAATGAGCCCTGTCCTCCCTCAGAAGTAACCTGTCCTTCTCCACAGGAAAATCATTCGCACCTAACAGCAGCCCTGGACTATGACTTTTCCCCTAAAAAGTTACTAAATACATTGATATTAAATTTAGAATAAATTATTTTCTTTCCAGCCAGAGGTTCTTAAATGGTCAATAAGCTGTTTAGTGTGAGACAGAAAATCATCTTAGTGTTACTTAACTTGCCCCAAGGGTGAGCAGTACAAAGGGCCACTGTGTGTAGTTCTCCCAAGGAAAAAATGGTTCTTCAACAAGGGGCTGAGGAGAAGCTATATGGGTATACTGGCTTACTTCGTCCCTCTGGGCCCTGGGCCTGAAAGTCTGATGGCCCTCACGCAGTCAATCCCAAAGCTGAGCTGACCATGTGGTAATATACACTACTGGATAGCTCCCTACCCTCATTCCTGACATGCCTCTGCACATGTCCCCAGAAGCCCTACCTGTGACTATGGCAGATGCAATGCTATCATATCAGAATTAAGCCAAGTAAAATGCTCTAGAACATGCCTTGTGGTGCCAGACAGCCATGGGAGTGAAGGTTCTGATAAAAACAAATGGCACCTTCTTCTCAATAAAAGAATTACCATACACAATTTCCCCAAGATAATATAGTTGGTATCACAATGTATTGTTTAAATAACAAATAAAAGCAAATTGCTATCTTAAAAGCCTATAATAAATCTAAATAGAAAAAGTAATGGAGGCAACAACCGAATATTGAATCTTTAATTGAGCAGAGGTTGATTTTGGTTGGATTTGGAATTGCTGTCACCAACTGGGGAAAAGGAATACAAGCCAAAAAGAGATATGTGGTAGGAGGAGGCCACAAAACACTTCTTTCTAGTTTCCAACTTGATGTATTTCAATAGAAATAGAACTGAGAAATGAAACTTCATATAATCTTCCATGGCAACCACCACCTCTTCCTCTAGTCTTCTAGACCAGTGGTTCTCAACCTGTGGGGGTCGAACATCCCTTTCACAGGATCACCCGATTCATAACAGTAGCAAAATTACAGTTATGAAGTAGCAACGGAAAACATTTTATGGTGGGGGAGGGGGGCACCACCACATGAGGAACTGTATTAAAGGGTCATGGCATTAGAAAGGTTGAGACCCACTGCTCTAGATAAAGGTGTTCATTCCATTTCTCTAGACTGATTATTCTGCCAGTTCCTTCACTTCAACTCATACTAGACACAACAACCTACTCTCTCCCAGAGTCCCCTTTTTCTCTATGGCATAAATCCCTGGGTTTGCCCATCACTTCTGTTGCACCTTAACGTTTCTTTTCTCTAGCCTCTGATGCTTCACATATCTTTGCTTACTTGTTGTACAAGTCAAATTAATCATGTTTCCTAATGCACTTATTGTAAGCTGAATTTCCATTCTACCAAGTAACCAGCCTCTTAAGCAAGACTCACTCTGCCACCTTATTACAGTGTTATAATTCACTGTTCAAAGATGGGACCATTTCCCACTTTTGCTCTTGTAGTTGCTTTTTTAAAAAAATATTTTAGAGTCTGCCTTATCTGGGCTCAAATCCTAGTGCAGTCATTAACTGGAAGGACAAACGAGGGCAAGTTTCCTGGACTCCTTCTTTTTGTCCAACTGTGCAATAAAAAGGTTGACTTTCCTTACAGAATTGTGACAGGAGGCTTTAAAGAGTTCATAGGAAAATTCTATTTCTTTCAATTCAAGTTTTCCACAAGTTTTTTGATCTAAAGGGCTCAGCTTAGAGCCTTAGGCAAAGAAATAGTTCAACACATGGCATCTACCATTGTTACAACTGAGACACAGGTACAAACAAAATAGTCACATGCTGGGTGAAATGGTTAGTCTTCATCCATGCTACATTTCAGGACAGAAGGGAGGCAGGTCACTGCAACAGTGTGGCAGAGAATGCTGGCTGAAGTCATTTGGCTAAACAGCTGCAGCAGCAGCTTTTTGAGGATGGTTAATGGTTGTATCACTGATAGCCACCTCACTGTCCAAGGGAGCAGAGTTCTGAAGTGGGTATTTTAAATAAGAAACTGTGGGCACATCATTCTTTGGCAAACATAAGTTTTTATAACTATCATTAATGCTTATATATAAGTACAAACATTTTTTTCTTAAAAATGTTGTTTATAATTGGGTAGCAACGCCCCACACCCCAATCTTACCTTATTTCTATTTGGATGAAACTTCAGAAAACGCAGTACCACACAACGCTATTGGAAAATAAAACAAAATTCTAATTAGTACTCTGCTTAGAGTCTAGTGGCTCAAAGAACTAAGGCCCAGGCCTCCCATGCATTAGCCCATGTGAGTTCCCACAGAAAGGAAATTGTGAAGCCACAGGCTAGCACTAATTCCAGAGGCTATCTGCCCATGACCTCTGAGAAGGCATATGCTGGCAAGAGCCACAAAGGCGGACATAGTCTCTGACCCACTGGTCCACTGCCAGGAGCTAACAAAGGATGAGCCACTATACATAGAAGTACTACTTATAATTCCAGAAGAAATAGAGATCCCTGATAAGACATTTAACCAAACATTTTCTACAAAAATAGACTCATATTAGACTTCCAAAGAGAACTAATATCCTGAACTTGAAGCCCATCAAATCAAATCAAGGTTTCTAGAACTCTGAAGAGTCATGGGGCTTGTGAATTACATCTACCGTATATACTCAAATATAAGCCGACCCGAATATCCACTGAGGCACCTAATTTTACCACAAAAGCGGCACAAAAATGTGCTGAAAAACTCGGCTTAGAGGGGCTGGCCTCAATCCCAACTACGCGGACACCTGCCCCTCCCCCCAGAAGAATTATTTCAGAGGACAGCACTGAAGCTGCAGCTCAGGGAGAGGGACATGTCTGATCAGAGCACATGGGAGCAAATAAAGAGGGCGGAAGAGAGATTGGAGCACATCATAGCCCACCAACCTTGAGGACAATATTCCCCCTCAGAGCAGCCATTCCACAGAGAAGGCCATATGGCCGGCCCCACTATGAGACACGACATCCCCCACTGACCCATAGCCCTACAGGGGACAACACTGGAGACACAGTGTGGGAATTAGGCCCAATCTGATCCCACCACTCCG